GTTTGGAGTGTGACTGTTTGAGGTTGTGGACAGGTGTCTTTTATACTGATAACAAGTTCAAACAGGTGCCATTAATACAGGTAACGAGTGGAGGACAGAGGAGCCTCTTAAAGAAGAAGTTACAGGTCTGTGAGAGCCAGAAATCTTGCTTGTTTGTAGGTGACAAAATACTTATTTTCCACCATAATTTGCAAATAAACTCATAAAAAATCCTACAATGTGATTTTCTGGAGAAAAAAAATCTCAATTTGTCTGTCATAGTTGACGTGTACCTATGACATATTTTTAAGTGGGAGAACTTGCACAATTTGTGGCTGACTAAATACTTTTTTTCCCCACTGTACCTGGAACCAAAAAGGGTTATCCTATTTACATTTACATTTACGTCATTTAGCAGACGCTCTTATCCAGAGCGACTTACAAATTGGTGCATTCACCTTATAGCCAGTGGGATAACCACTTTACATTATGTTTTTATTTATTTATTTTTTTTGGGGGGGGGGGGGGGGGGGGGGGGGGTAGAAGGATTACTTTATCCTATCCCAGGTATTCCTTAAAGAGGTGGGGTTTCAAGTGTCTCCGGAAGGTGGTGAGTGACTCCGCTGTCCTGGCGTCGTGAGGGTGCTTGTTCCACCATTGGGGTGCCAGAGCAGCGAACAGTTTTGACTGGGCTGAGCGGGAACTGTGCTTCCGCAGAGGTAGGGGGGCCAGCTGGCCAGAGGTGGATGAACGCAATGCCCTCATTTGGGTGTAGGGACTGATCAGAGCCTGAAGGTATGGAGGTGCCGTTCCCCTCACAGCTCCGTAGGCAAGCACCATGGTCTTGTAGTAGATGCGAGCTTCAACTGGAAGCCAGTGGAGTGTGCAGAGGAGCGGGGTGACGTGAGAGAACTTGGGAAGGTTGAACACCAGACGGGCTGCGGCATTCTGGATGAGTTGTAGGGGTTTAATGGGCACAGTGGAAGAACCCTTTTGGAAAGCTTTTTTCTAAGAGTAGGTTTAGGACCTCTTATTGATGCTTATAGGGACCCCAACTGATGTATCTACTTTGGTTTAGATACAAGCATCATGAAACCTATAACACAATACATTAATTTGACTTTGTGAAAATCAGTGTTTTGGACCTAACTTGCTTACCACTTTTTCTATGTGGTTTCTTCAGACTCCATGAAATGATGACATCTTAGTAAATATTTGGCCACATGATTACTTTTGTGTATGGTTTCCTATAAACAATGGGTGACTCAACTAACCATTTGGCTCAGCTTACCACACTCTCCATACAGGTGGTATGGTAATATTACAGCTGGAGCTTATTGGTTTCCTAGTCTCAGTTTCTCACAGTGAGATGTATTTTAGTGTGTCAGACCTTAATGGTGATAGCAGTTCCTGTCAGTTCTCCTGTGCTGGGTTCCAGATGTCTCCAGGCATTTCGTGTTGATGTGAACACAGCAGTCTCTCTGTCCCACCAGGTTTAATACTGTATGGCATAGAGAGAATCTCCTGAGATTCCAACCTGATTCTCATTTTCTCTCTCTCCCCTTATTAAAACTATTCTCTATTTCTCACGCTTGTTTTTGTGCTGATTAGGGTTGACGTGTTCCTCCCTCTGGCTGGTCTAGCCTCTTTCCCCCAGGTTAGGACAGCAGGGTGAGTCTGACCTAAAATGCTGGGCTTTGTCACAGCTAAGCTGCCCGGCTCTCCTGCTAAAAGGAACAAAACGCTCTTTTCAGGACCTTGGCTGCAGACACTGCGTGGCTTTGTGTTGGAGTGTAACTTTGGAGCAATGCTACATAAAGAAGTAAGAAGGACATCAGGGCAATTATGTAAGGAGGGGAAGTGTTGAGCAAGTGAGGAGATTAGAGGAAGGGAGAAAGCACTGTTTATTTTTTTGACGTAACATCCTCATCCCTCGTCTTGTAGCTCAGTTGGTAGAGCATGGCTCTTGCAACGCCAGGGTTGTGGGTTTGTTTCCCACGGGGGGCCAGTATAAAAATGTATGCACTCACTAACTGTAAGTCGCTCTGGATAAGAGCGTCTGCTAAATTACTAAAATTATAGAGGAGATTGCAGGTGTGTGTGTCCGGTGTGTAGATCATTATCAATTATTCTGGATATTGATCAGCTTCAGAGCAGCAGCTGGTGAAACATAGAGACTGAGGATTTTTTTTTCCCTTCTTAGTGACGCCCCATGACCTTTACTCTGTTGGTAACTAGGTACCTGATAGGTGCTGTGAGTGACAGACAGACAGGCTGAAGCTGTTGTGTCAAAGCTGTAGCATGTCCCAGCACATACTAGAGCCTGTCAGTCAAACTCTGTGGTGGGTCTCAACTGCACATGGACATTCAGAGAGGGCACACATGTCAATGATTCCCTACACTACTATGTTATCACGCTCCAATGCAAATAGTCCGGGTAGCCATAATTAGCTGTTTAGGAGTCTTATGGATTGGGGGTAGAAGCTGTTAAGAAGCCTTTGACAATTTTTAGGGCCTTCCTCTGACACCGCCTGGTATAGAGGTCCTGGATGGCAGGAAGCTTGGCCACAGTGATGTACTGGGCCGTACGCACTACCCTCTGTAGTGGCTTACGGTTGGAGAACGAGCAGTTGCCATACCAGTCGATGATGCAACCAGTCAGGATGCTCTCGATGGTGCAGCTGTGGAACTTTTTGAGGATCTGAGGACCCATGCCAAATCACTAGTGGAATGAAAAACAGTTATTTCATTTCAGCGCCTAGATTAGATATCTCTAACCTTACAAAAAAAGAATGCAGATTTGAAACTGCAGTAAAAGTGCAGTAACTGCAGTCGACTGTGGTATTTTGGACGCAGTAATTGCAGAATAACTGCAGTGTACTGGAGTTGAACTGCAATTATACTGCACTGTAACTGCAGTTACACTGCAAAATTACTGCAGTAAACACAACGGTGTTATTTTGGACGCAGTATTTGCAGCACACTACAGTTACAGTGAGGGAAAAAAGTATTTGATCCCCTGCTGATTTTGTACGTTTGCCCACTGACAAAGAAATGATCAGTCTATAATTTTAATGGTAGGTTTATTTGAACAGTGAGAGACAGAATAACAACAACAAAAAGCAGAAAAACGCATGTCAAAAATGTTATAAATTGATTTGCATTTTAATGAGAGAAATAAGTATTTGACCCCCTCTCAATCAGAAAGATTTCTGGCTCCCAGGTGTCTTTTATACAGGTAACGAGCTGAGATTAGGAGCACACTCTTAAAGAGAATGCTTCTAATCTCATCTTGTTACCTGTATAAAAGACACCTGTCCACAGAAGCAATCAATCAATAAGATTCCAAACTCTCCACCATGGCCAAGACCAAAGAGCTCTCCAATGATGTCAGGGACAAGATTGTAGACCTACACAAGGCTGGAATGGGCTACAAGACCATCGCCAAGCAGCTTGGTGAGAAGGTGACAACAGTTGGTGCGATTATTCTCAAATGGAAGAAACACAAAATAACTGTCAATCTCCCTCGGCCTGGGGCTCCATGCAAGATCTCACCTCGTATAGTTGCAATGATCATGAGAACGGAATCAGCCCAGAACTACACGGGAGGATCTTGTCAATGATCTCAAGGCAGCTAGGACCATAGTCACCAAGAAACAATTGGTAACACACTACGCCGTGAAGGACTGAAATCCTGCAGCGCCCGCAAGGTCCCCCTGCTCAAGAAAGCATATATACATGCCCGTCTGAAGTTTGCCAATGAACATCTGAATGATTCAGAGGAGAACTGGGTGAAAGTGTTGTGGTCAGATGAGATCAAAAGGGAGCTCTTTGGCATCAACTCAACTCGCCGTGTTTGGAGGAGGAGGAATGCTGCCTATGACCCCAAGAACACCATCCCCACCGTCAAACATGGAGGTGGAAACATTATGCTTTGGGGGTGTTTTTCTGCTTAGGGGACAGGACAACTTCACCGCATCAAAGGGACGATGGACGGGGCCATGTACCGTCAAATCTTGGGTGAGAACCTCCTTCCCTCAGCCAGGGCATTGAAAATGGGTCGTGGATGGGTATTCCAGCATGACAATGACCCAAAACACACGGCCAAGGCAACAAAGGAGTGGCTCAAGAAGAAGCACATTAAGGTCCTGGAGTGGCCTAGCCAGTCTCCAGACCTTAATCCCATAGAAAATCTGTGGAGGGAGCTGAAGATTCGAGTTGCCAAACGTCAGCCTCGAAACCTTAATGACTTGGAGAAGATCTGCAAAGAGGAGTGGAACAAAATCCCTCCTGAGATGTGTGCAAACCTGGTGGCCAACTACAAGAAACGTCTGACCTCTGTGATTGCCAACAAGGGTTTTGCCACCAAGTACTAAGTCATATTTTGCAGAGGGGTCAAATACTTATTTCCCTCATTAAAATGCAAATCAATTTATAAAATTTTTGACATGCGTTTTTCTGGATTTCTTTGTTGTTATTCTGTCTCTCACTGTTCAAATAAACCTACCATTAAAATTATAGACTGATCATTTCTCTGTCAGTGGGCAAACGTACAAAATCAGCAGGGGATCAAATACTAACGGCATTTTTTTTTGGTAAGGGTATTTTCGATTTACACTGTAATTTTAGAATTCTTATTATCTCTGCACAAGAAATAACTCTGGTTTTATTCTGTGTTATGGACACTTAATGTGAGTGCTGTATCTGTTCCTATCTACAGGCTGATGTTTTCCTCTCTACAGGCTTGTGTGTATTGGGTGGCAGGTAGCCTAGTGGTTAAGAGTGTTGGGCAAGTAACCGAAAGGTTGCTGGTTTAAATCCCTGAGCCGACTAGGTGACAAATCTGTCGATGTGCCCTTGAGCAAGGCACTTAACCCTAATTGCTCCTGTAAGTCGCTCTGGATAAGGGTGTCTGCTAAATTACGTAAATGTACTGTATTTGAAGTGCTATACATAACGTACCTGTTGTTCTTCTCCCTCCTCAGGCTGATGCTAAGATGGTGTGTGACGTGGTGAGTCGTATGGAGGACACTGAGCCCTACTCTCCTGAGCTCCTGGGGGCTATGACCCGCCTGTGGTCGGACTCCGGCATCCAGGAGTGCTTCAACCGCGCCCGAGAATACCAGCTCAATGACTCTTCCCAATAGTGAGTACTACTCTACCTCTGCTGACCCCCACAGGAGGACCTAGTGCTGCAGGATCAATACAACTCTCATTACTTTGCTCCAGTCAATGATAGTGTTTATGGATCACACATACATAAACATCATCCACTTACTACATTCATTGATATCCATGTGTCATTAGTCATATACAACAAATATGAAGCAACTTTTTTGTGTTTTATAGACAAAGTGGTTTATGAGGCCCAAAGTGAATTGGTAAATTTCTGTGCTAGGTTGATGTAAATCAATTGGTATCAAACACTTATGTATGATCAGGGCCTAAAATTAACAACCGCCACCCGCCAAATGAAAACGCGTGTAGATTTTGACATTGGCGGGTAAGATGTCTATTTCACCAGTCACGTTGGCGGGTGGTCAGGTCTCCACAGTGCGAGCATTTCACTTGCATCTGTGAATAAAAATAGTCAAGTATGATGACATTTATAGCAAAATAAATACTGCAGTAACTGTTTTCAAAGTATTTCTGCCGTTTTCTTTCATAGCTGGTAAATTCATCGCACAAAGTCAAAGAACTACGAATCCTATAGCCTATCCCACCTCGCGCTTCAACACTGCCTGGCAGGGGACTGTGCGCACGTGAAAAGCTGAGTGAAAGATTCATTTTTAGGTGCACTGCGCACAGGCATAAAAGTCGGTCTAATTTACTTGAAACTAAAGTCTACTGAAGTGAAACTTTGTCCTTGTGTTTCTTGGCTATTTACATTGTTTTGTTCACAAGCTAGGTTGTTTTTCAATGTTTGAGTTTCAACTGCTAGGGAAGAAAAGACAAGGCAGCTACTAGTAAGGGGCTTCAGTCCAAACTCAAAGTAGACAGCCCTCGGCCCTAAACCCTCAGCCCTTGAATAATGTTTTACATCTGAGTGTACCTTCAATGTCCTTTGCCCAAGCAAGGGAGAGTGATGTTTGGAGAGGCAACGTCCTTGTTGGAAATCTTGAAGTTGAGCTTAAAAACAACCAACCTATAGCTATTAATGTACCTAGCTAGCTAACGTAGCTAGCTAGCAATCCTGTAAGGTAGCTAGCTACCCATAGCTGGCAAGCTAGTTTTATAGTTTGGTCATTTATTCCAATACATTTCAGAATTCCCCAAAATATGTTTATGAAGCTACCTTCGTTTTATAGGGTCCGCACTACGAGACTAAGCCAATTTGCCAACGCTAAAATCAATTAAATGTATATATCTTTTTTAACAAGCTAGCATTATAATGTTGTCTGACATGCCGAAAATGCAGCCGTGTTGATAAAAGTTGACACTTCGCAGCCACTGGAGTTTGACACGTGACTACAGTTTGCATTGAATTGTGGGTCATATCAACTCCACAAGTGATCAAAGTTCTTCACTCGCTCTGTCGAGCTAAATCGAGGGCCGAGGGGGCGACGTTTGTGAATTGGACCACTTAAGATGGCAATCAAACCGCATTCGGTTTCGACGGTGATTCCCCCAAGAGAAAGTGGCTAGTGCGAGGGCTGAGGGGGTAAAAATTATGGGTTTGGACTGCAGCTACGCTCTCAATCTCACAGGCACAAACATGACTTGAGTCACGCTACCACGGTATCCTCCCACCCTTAAAGGGGCAGGTGAAAATGTTTGTCTCATCTGTGATATTTTGGTTAAAAGACTCAGGTCATAAAATATTAAATGAAATTAAACAAAATACCACATTACTTCTTACTAGTAATAGATTTATTGTTTTTAGAAACATTACAAAGCATGCTCATCTGTTTATTTGTGTTTTGTTGGTGTAATTTTAGCAAGACGTTTTTTTTTAATTTTGGCTGGTAAAATATCTGAGTTGTTGGTAGATTTTTTAATCTACCTGCCACAGTGGCTGGTGGACCAAAAAGTAAATTTTAGGCCCTGTGTCTGACTTATTTGTGCACTTACACAACAACCCCAGCAGGACCTTGGTCAGCCCCCAGACATGACTTATTCATTCTCCACCTGGTGTGGCCATCTTCTCATCCACCCCATCCTCTTTCCACCATCCCAGCGAACACAATATCAATTAATACTGCATTAAAGGAAAAATCCACCCAAAACCACTAATTCCTATAATTTACAGTGTTACATAACACTAATATGTGAGAACAATATTTTTTGGAACAAATGTTTCATTTTGTCATTATAATAAGGTTGGTAGCGACGTGAAAATTGTTGTGGAAATCTGTTGCAGCTCAAGTCGACTACAAAACCCACAATGCAATTCTGTCTCTATGGACTGGCTAGCAAACGTAGCTACACACAATAATACCAAAGTCAGTAGCTAGTTAGCTGTAAAATCGCCTAAACAAGCTGCGCTATCAATTTAGGAGTCTACAATCTCACCATGTTCAACCTGTATGTGCCTCACAGAGTGGAGTCTGGCATTTGCAATGGCACCATGCAATGCACCCTGGACTGAAGAGGCAGACAAATAGGAGAAATGTGTAAAGGCGTCAGCATGCTTCAGTTCGGCTGGTGGCTAGCCAAAGTCGCCTAGGCGAACCGAACGAGTGTATTCGCATACTACTTAAAAGACCTTTGCTTGAAAAACGAAAATAAAGTGGCAATAGTACTGTTTGTCCATTTTGAGACGCCATAGCCAGTAAACACTTCCTCAAAATAGTCAGAATGAATCTAAGATAACTTAAGAAATCTTTGTTGTGTGCACGAAAACGAGTCTCTCATTAAATGACAACAAAGGCTTTACTGAAGAATTCCTACTGTTGACCAGTCACCGACAAAGGGGCATAGACTTGGGCTACCGACTTGGGCTTGCCCCAAAAAATATATTGTGTGCCCAAACAACCCCAAAAAACCTTACTGAAGTCCTAAAGTGTTTCGGCTGGGAAGCATGCGGACGACATTAGAACCTCTGTTAAATTACACATTTCATGGCTAGCTGTGCCACTAGAGATCCTGGTTCGAGTCCAGGCTCTGTCGCAGCCGGCTGTGACCGGGAGACCCATGGGGCGTCGCACAATTGGATATTCTTGTCCCATCGCGCACTAGTGACTCCTGTGGCTGGCTGGGCGCAGTGCACGCTGACACAGTCGCCAGGTGTATGGTGTTTCCTCCGACACATTGTGTCAAGAAGCAGTGCGGCTCGGCTGGGTTGTATTTCGGAGGACGCATGTCTCGACCTTCGCCTCTCCCGAGTCCGTACGGGAGTTGCAGCGATGGGACAAGACTGTAACTACCAATTGGATCCCACGAAATTGGGGAGAAAAAAGGGTTTAAAAATAACACTAAGAAAATACCCAAAAAAAGACAAATACAAAATTAGACATTTCTTGAGGTAGGAATATCGCAAAAATATGATCAATGGCTCATTCAAGAGACGACAACCTACCGCATTATGACAACCGCCAGTATTGAAATCTGACATGTACGATGGACGTTTTTGCAATCTAAAAGTCGTATTCCTATTAATTTCCAGTGCGGCTTTATCTCAGTGCTACGTCATACCGGCCAAATTTCTGCCTGCTTTAACGGCGATATCTCAGATACACATGAAAACATGTATTGACCCAGGGAATCGATAGAACATCGCTCAGAGATGCACAAAAACAATATAACATTCAAAATGGATTAATCTTTACTTTAAGTACAAAGAATCAAACATTCAAAGGCAGATGTCTTTATGAGTGTGGTGGTTCAGTAAGTAAATAATCTCAGGGTTGGGGAGTAACGGATGACATGTAATCCGTTACAAGTAACTGATTACATTGTTTTTACTGTAATCTGTTACGTTACCAGCAAAACTATGGTAATCAGATAACAGATACTTTTGAAAAACTAGATGATTACTTCTAGGATTACTCTTAATTTCAGAAAATTATTTGACACCTTTCTGTTTTCTCAATGACATTCAAATCAGCATTGAAAAAAGGCACAAGTTTAAGTTTGTTTCCGCCTAAGCGAGTCTGACCACAAATCAGAGACCACTATGATGACACACCAAATGTGTTTGATGGATTGCGGGAAAAGAGCAGGAATAGGCTTTTGTAGGCTACAGTCCAAGCTATGTCTTCCAATGGTGCAACTGCTGTAGGCATCCAAAGATTATCCAACTTGAATAAACGCTTGGAGGTAAGAACGACAGCAGTGATGTAGCCTGCAGGCAGTGCGATATGGATATCACTTATTATTGATGCCTACATAGCGCATTGATTTGAATCACACTACTGCTCTCTCATTTACCTATTTGCGCCTTACTGATTGTGTTTGTTGTGGATGGCTGTTAACCCAATAATGGTTGAATTGAAGAAGCTTAAGCTGCGATTGTTTTTGCGACCAATGAACAGCCAGTTAAAAATGCACTCCTGCTAGAGCTGCATAGTGCATATCCCAATCTTGAAAAAAAAAATTTTACTGTTTGAGGGAGTTCCTCCCTTCTAAACTCCTCCGTGGTATTGTGCTCCATACTGTCAAAAACACGTTTCATTTAAGAAGACCACGAGTAGGGCTTTTATTGCTCAATCTCATTCGTGCTGATTCAAAATAAATGTCCATAGTCCTAACGGACACATGCTCAAACTCGCACACTTTTGATAGACTTGAACAGCTGCAAATTATCGAGATATCAAAGTGTCACCAACAAAAACGTAAACAATAGGCCTAGAGCAAATGCAGCATATGGCATCAATACATTTTTCACATGCAAATAGCACTTGGGGTTCAAAGCATGCCATTCCATGAGAGCAGCATTTATTTTTCAACTCAACGCAATGAACCCAATCAGTCCTCCATGACAACAAAATAAACAACAGAGTAGGCTAATAAGTCCTTAGCTGACTAAACTCAACTCCATGGTAGTCAGCTAATGTCCTTAGTTTTTGGGTTATGCTCATGTAAAACAATTAGGCTAATCTATATTTCCATATTTCCATGTCCTATTCTTGAAGATCAAGGAGTATTAAATTATTGGAATTACTGGAAATCTTAGACTTTGGTTTTTAATGTAAAGATATAGCCTAATTGTATTATCTGTAGTAGAAAGCAATGGGTTAGAAGAAGCCTACTGTACATAAACAACCCATAAAGCAAAATGCAACATCCATTTATGGCCAGCTATGTAAACTCTAACATTGATTTATCCTGCAATAGATGTCATTCAATTGGTAATATTCATTTTTGTCTTCTTCTAATGCCTTAAGGGGAAAGTAATCTAAAAGTAACAAAGTAATCAGATTACATTACAGAGCTTGGGTAATCCAAAAGTTATGTTACTGATTACAATTTTGGACAGGTAACTGTAACGGATTACTTTTAGAAAGTAACCTACCCAACCCTGAGGACGGGTGTGGAGAACAACCGCGTGTAGCGCAGCAGTGATACACCGTGACAGTGTAGACAGGAGCAGGACAGCGAGAGAATGATTAAAGGACATAGCCTGTAAGTCGCTCTGGATAAGAGCGTCTGCTAAATGACTAAAATGTAAATGTAAAATAGCCAGTAGCGAGTTGCTCAGCTCCTCTGAGGTGGCTTAAGCCCATAGTATTGCATTCCTGAGAAAATTCATTTTCTTTCCATCCACAATATATTAGTGTGTCCTGCAAAAGGTCACGAAACACATTTATTTCACATTTACATGGAACTCAATTAATTGTGTTGTAAATGTCATAGCATTTAGGAATGATGTTTGATTACTGGTAGTCCAGTATTTCGCCCAGGAACTTGACACACCATGCAGAACTTGACATGTCTGGCACGATCATGTTATCTTAGATAAGATTCGGTTTTGTCCGGATCTACATTATAGAAACGTTGCATAACACTTTAAGGTGTATATGTCTATCAATGTCTTTTGATGTATGAAAGCAGCCCACATGACATGTAGATTTAAGAGTCATGGCACCCAGAGCAGTCTCTCTCGCTCTCTCTCTCTCTGTCTCTCTCTCTCGCTCTCTCTCTCGCTCTCTCTCTCGCTCTCTCTCTCTCTCTCTCAATTTAAGGGCTTTATTGGCATGGGAAACATATGTTTACATTGCCAAAGCAGGTGAAATAGCTAATAAATAAAAGTGAAATAAACAATAAATTAACAGTAAACATTACACTCACAAAAGTTACAAAAGAATGAAGACATTTCAAATGTCATATTATGTCTATATACAGTGTTGTAATGATGTGCAAATAGTTAAAGTACAAAAGGGAAAATAAATAAACATAAATATAGGTTGTATTTACAATACATTTACATTTACATTTTAGTCATTTAGCAGACGCTCTTATCCAGAGCGACTTACAGGAGCAATTAGGGTTACGTGCCTTGCTCAAGGGCACATTTACGTCATTTAGCAGACGCTCTTATCCAGAGCGACTCACCAATTGGTGCGTTCACCCTATAGCCAGTGGGATAACCACTTTACAATTTTGGGGGGGGTAGAAGGATTACTTTATCCTATCCCAGGTATTCCTTAAAGAGGTGGGGTTTCAAATGCCTCCGGAAGGTGGTGAGTGACTCCGCTGTCCTGGCGTCGTGAGGGAGCTTGTTCCACCATTGGGGTGCCAGAGCAGCGAACAGTTTTGACTGGGCTGAGCGGGAACTATGCTTCCGCAGAGGAAGGGGAGCCAGCAGGCCAGAGGTGGATGAACGCAATGCCCTCGTTTGGGTGTAGGGACTGATCAGAGCCCGAAGGTACAGAGGTGCCGTTCCCCTCACTGCTCCATAGGCAAGCACCATGGTCTTGTAGCGGATGCGAGCTTCAACTGGAAGCCAGTGGAGTGTGCGGAGGAGGGGGGTGACGTGAGAGAACTTGGAAAGGTTGAACACCAGACGGGCTGCGGCATTCTGGATGAGTTGTAGGGGTTTAATGGCACAGGCAGGGAGGCCAGCCAACAGCGAGTTGCAGTAGTCCAGACGGGAGATGACAAGTGCCTGGATTAGGACCTGTGCCGCTTCCTGTGTAAGGCAGGGTCGTACTCTCCGAATGTTGTAGAGCATGAACCTGCAGGAGCGGGTCACCGCCTTGATGTTGGCGGAGAACGACAGGGTGTTGTCCAGGGTCACGCCTAGGCTCTTCGCACTCTGGGAGGAGGACACAGCGGAGTTGTCAACCGTGATGGCGAGATCATGGAACGGGCAGTCCTTCCCCGGGAGGAAGAGCAGCTCCGTCTTGCCAGGGTTCAGCTTGAGGTGGTGATCCGTCATCCATACTGATATGTCTGCCAGACATGCAGAGATGCGATTCGCCACCTGGTTATCAGAAGGGGGAAAGGAGAAGATTAGTTGTGTATCGTCAGCGTAGCAATGATAGGAGAGGCCATGTGAGGATATGACAGAGCCAAGTGACTTGGTGTATAGGGAGAAAAGGAGAGGGCCTAGGACTGAGCCCTGGGGGACACCAGTGGTGAGAGCACGTGGTGCGGAGACAGCTTCTCGCCACGCCACTTGGTAGGAGCGACCGGTCAGGTAGGACGCAATCCAGGAGTGAGCCGCGCCGGAGATGCCCAGCTCGGAGAGGGTGGAGAGGAGGATCTGATGGTTCACAGTATCAAAGGCAGCAGACAGGTCTAGAAGGACAAGAGCAGAGGAGAGAGAGTTAGCTTTAGCAGTGCGGAGAGCCTCCGTGACACAGAGAAGAGCAGTCTCAGTTGAATGACCAGTCCTGAAACCTGACTGGTTTGGATCAAGAAGGTCATTCTGAGAGAGATAGCAAGAGAGTTGGCTAAAGACGGCACGCTCAATAGTTTTGGAAAGAAAAGAAAGAAGGGATACTGGTCTGTAGTTGTTGACATCAGTGGGATCGAGTGTTGGTTTCTTGAGAAGGGGAGCAACTCTCGCTCTCTTGAAGACGGAAGGGACATGGCCAGCGGTCAAGGATGAGTTGATCAGCGAGGTGAGGTAGGGGAGAAGGTCACCGGAGATGGTCTGGAGAAGAGAGGAGGGGATGGGGTCAAGCGGGCAGGTTGTTGGGCGGCCTGCAGTCACAAGTCGCAGGATTTTATCTGGAGAGAGAGGGGAGAAAGAAGTCAAAGCATAGGGTAGGGCAGTGTGAGTAGGACCAGCAGTGTCATTAGACTTAACAAACGAGGATCGAATGTCGTCAACCTTCTTTTCAAAGTGGTTGACGAAGTCATCCACAGAGAGAGAGGAGGGGGGGGGCGGGGGGGGGGGAGGATTCAGGAGGGAGGAAAATGTGGCAAAGAGCTTCCTAGGGTTAGAGGCAGATGCTTGGAATTTAGAGTGGTAGAAAGTGGCCTTAGCAGCAGAAACAGATGAAGAAAATGTAGAGAGGAGGGAGTGAAAAGATGCCAGGTCGGCAGGGAGTTTAGTTTTCTTCCATTTCCGCTCCGCTGCCCGGAGCTCTGTTCTGTGAGCTCGCAATGAGTCATCAAGCCACGGAGCTGGAGGGGAGGACCGAGCCGGCCGGGAGGATAGGGGACACAGAGAGTCAAAGGATGCAGAAAGGGAGGAGAGGAGGGTTGAGGAGGCAGAATCAGGAGATTGGAGGGAGAAGGATTGAGCAGAGGGAAGAGATGATAGGATGGAAGAGGAGAGAGTAGTGGGAGAGAGAGAGCGAAGGTTGCGGCGGCGCATTACCATCTGTGTAGGGGCAGAGTGAGTAGTGTGGGAGGAGAGCGAGAGAGAAAAGGAAACAAAGTAGTGGTCGGAGACATGGAGGGGAGTTGCAGTGAGATTAGTAGAAGAGCAGCATCTAGTAAAGATGAGGTCAAGCGTATTGCCTGCCTTGTGAGTAGGGGGGGACGGTGAGAGGGTGAGGTCAAAAGAGGAGAGAAGTGGAAAGAAGGAGGCAGAGAGAAATGAGTCAAATGTGGACATAGGGAGGTTGAAATCCCCCAAAACTGTGAGGGGTGAGCCATCCTCAGGAAAGGAACTTATCAAGGCGTCAAGCTCATTGATGAACTCTCCAAGGGAACCTGGAGGGCGATAGATGACAAGGATATTAAGCTTAAATGGGCTAGTGACTGTGACAGCATGGAATTCAAATGAGGAGATAGACAGATGGGTTAGGGGAAAAATTGAGAATGTCCACTTGGGAGAGATGAGGATTCCTGTGCCACCACCCCTCTGACCAGATGCTCTCGGGGTATGCGAGAACACATGGTCAGATGAGGAGAGAGCAGTAGGAGTAGCCGTGTTTTCAGTGGTAATCCATGTTTCCGTCAGCGCCAGGAAGTCGAGGGACTGGAGATTAGCATAGGCTGGGATGAAGTCAGCTTTGTTGGCAGCAGAACGGCAGTTCCAGAGGCTGCCTGAGACCTGGAACTCCAGGTGTGGGGTGCGTGCAGGGACCACCAGGTTAGAGAGGCAGCAGCCACGCGGTGTGGGGCGTTTGTGTAGCCTGTGCGGAGAGGAGAGAACAGGGATAGGCAGAGGCATAGTTGACAGGCTGCAACAGATGGCTACAATAATGCAGAGGAGATCGGGATGAAATGAACTGAACATCAGGGAAAGGAGAGAGCAGGCCTCCCTCACCAAAAAAAATAATAAATATATAACTCTCCCAACTTCCACCTCAGAAACTATAATTGTTTCACTGAACCACCCGAATAAAACTCTCCCAACTTCCACTTTAGAAATTAGAATTGTTGTAAGCTACAGCAGACTGTTATCAGTAGCTGTAATTAAGTACAGCAGCTACCAACCACCTAACGTTAATGCCTCGGATGAGGTTAGAAAAACAGCTGAATGGTAGCAGCTAGCTGGCTCAATCACAGGTACTCTCAAGCATGAAATAACATTGGAAACAGCTAACCACAGTTGCTAAAAGTTACCGGTAGCTACCCTCTAGCTAGCTAGCTTTGTTGGTCCAGGTAGTGGGTAAGCTAGCCTCGTGCTTCGCCTGGGCTCCGCCGAATAAAAATCCTTACCTACAATAATTACCTACAATAATAACCTACAATAACTACCGGAGTAAGCTACCTATAATACCAAACTACAATACCTACCTACAATCTAAATACATGGTTTAAGCTTAACTCAACACCATATAAGAAGCCAAGCTTACCTTTCATAACGCAGCAATGATTAAACGTTGGGTAGCTAGCACAAAGATATTGTATTTAGCTACCACAGCCTGCTGGTAGTGTTGGCTAGCTAGCAATGGCTACTGTGTTGACTTTGTTTGAAAAACGGCGTCGCTGTGAGCGAATGTAGCTGGCTAAAAGGATATTGTTTTTAGTTGCTACCGTTGCTAATAGCAACTCGCCAGCTAATCCAGGAGGTGAGTTAGCGAGCTAGCTTCGTGCTACATCCGGCACCGCCGAATACAAAAGTAACCTACAATAACTACACAACAGCTACCCGCAACAGCCCACGATGCCTACCTATACTACTTAATAATATACAGCCCACGATGCCTACCTATAGTACCTAACTACAATCTAAATACATAGTTTAAGCCTTACTCGACAAAGCCCAAGCTATGTATAAAGCCAAACTGGCAGACTGCAATCAGTAGCCGAAATTAGGTACAGCAGCTACCGACCACCTAACGTTAATGATAATGAGGTTAGAAAAAACAGCTGAAGGTGGCAGCTAGCTGGCTCAATATGGTGTTTGTTCTTCACTGGTTGCCCTTTTCTTGTGGCAACAGGTCACAAATCTTGCTGTTGTGATTGCACACTGTGGTATTTCACCCAATAGATATGGGAGTTTATCCAAATTGGATTTGTTTTCAAATTCTTTGTGGGTCTGTGCAATCTGAGGGAAATATGTGTCTCTAATATGGTCATACATTTGGCAGGAAGTTAGGAAGTGCAGCTCAGTTTCCACCTCATTTTGTGGGCAGTGTGCACATAGCCTGTCTTCTCTTGAGAGCCAGGTCTGCCTTCGGCGGCCTTTCTCAATAGCAAGGCTATGCTCACTGATTCTGTACATAGTCAAAGATTTCCTTAATTTTGGGACAGTCACAGTGGTCAGGTATTCTGCCACTGTGTACTCTCTGTTTAGGGCCACATAGCATTCTAGTTTGCTCTGTTTTTTGTAAATTCTTTCCAATGTGTCAAGTAATTATCTTTTTGTTTTCTCTTGATTTAGTTGGGTCTAATTGTGTTGCTGTACTGGGGCCATGGTAGTCAGCTAATATCCTTCGTTTTTGGGTTATGCTCATGTAAAACAATTTGGCTAATCTATATTTCCATGTCCTATTCTTGAAGATCAAGGAGTATTAAATTATTGGAATTACTGGAAATCTTAGACTTTGGTTTTTAATGTAAAGATATAGCCTAATTGTATTATCTGTAGTAGAAAGCAATGGGTTAGAAGAAGCCTACTGTACATAAACAACCCATAAAGCAAAATGAAACATCCATTTATGGCCAGCTATGTAAACTCTAACATTGATTTATCCTGCAATAGATGTCATTCAATTGGTAATATTCATTTTTGTCTTCTTCTAATGCCTTAAGGGGAAAGTAATCTAAAAGTAACAAAGTAATCAGATTACATTACAGAGCTTGGGTAATCCAAAAATTATGTTATTGATTACAATTTTGGACAGGTAACTGTAACGGATTACTTTTAGAAAGCAACCTACCCAACCCTGAGGACGGGTGTGGAGAACAACCGCGTGTAGCGCAGCAGTGATACACCGTGACAGTGTAGACAGGAGCAGGACAGCGAGAGAATGATTAAAGGACATAGCCAGTAGCGAGTTGCTCAGCTCCTCTGAGGTGGCTTAAGCCCATAGTATTGCATTCCTGAGAAAATTCATTTTCTTTCCATCCACAATATATTAGTGTGTCCTGCAAAAGGTCACGAAACACATTTATTTCACATTTACATGGAACTCAATTAATTGTGTTGTAAATGTCATAGCATTTAGGAATGATGTTTGATTACTGGTAGTCCAGTATTTCGCCCAGGAACTTGACACACCATGCAGAACTTGACATGTCTGGCACGATCATGTTATCTTAGATAAGATTCGGTTTTGTCCGGATCTACATTATAGAAACGTTGCATAACACTTTGAGGTGGATATGTCTATCAATGTCTTTTGATGTATGAAAGCAGCCCACATGACATGTAGATTTAAGAGTCATGGCACCCAGAGCAGTCTCTCTCGCTCTCTCTCTCTCTGTCTCTCTCTCTCTCTCTCTCTCTCTCTCTCTCTCTCTCTCTCTCTCTCTCTCTCTCTCTCTCTCTCTCTCTCTCAATTTAAGGGCTTTAATGGCATGGGAAACATATGTTTACATTGCCAAAGCAGGTGAAATAGATAATAAATAAAAGTGAAATAAACAATAAATTAACAGTAAACATTACACTCACAAAAGTTACAAAAGAATGAAGACATTTCAAATGTCATATTATGTCTATATACAGTGTTGTAATGATGTGCAAATAGTTAAAGTACAAAAGGGAAAATAAATAAACATAAATATAGGTTGTATTTACAATGGTGTTTGTTCTTCACTGGTTGCCCTTTTCTTGTGGTAACAGGTCTCAAATATTGCTGCTGTGATTGCACACTGTGGTATTTCACCCAATAGATATGGGAGTTTATCAAAATTGGATTTGTTTTCGAATTCTTTGTGGGTCTGTGCAATCTGAGGGAAATATGTATCTCTAATATGGTCATACATTTGGCAGGAATTTAGGAAGTGCAGCTCAGTTTCCACCTCATTTTGTGGGCAGTGTGCACATAGCCTGTCTTCTCTTGAGAGCCAGGTCTGCCTTCGGCTATGTACTGATTCTGTACATAGTCAAAGATTTCCTTAATTTTGGGTCAGTCACAGTGGTCAGATATTCTGCCACTGTGTACTCTCTGTTTAGGGCCAAATAGCATTCTAGTTTGCTCTGTTTTTTTGTAAATTCTTTCCAATGTGTCAAGTAATTATCTTTTTGTTTTCTCATGATTTGGTTGGGTCTAGTTGTGTTGCTGTCCTGGGGCTCTGTGGGGTCTGTTTGTGTCTGTGAACAGAGCCCCAGGACCAGCTTGCTTAGAGGGCTCTTCTCCAGGTTAATTTCTCTGTAGGTGATGGCTTTGTTATGGAAGGTTTGGGAATCGCTTCCTTTTAGGTGGTTGTAGAATTTAACAGCTCTTTTCTGGATTTTGATAATTAGCGGGTATCGGCCTAATTCTGCTCTGCATGCATTATTTGGTGTTTTACATTGTACACAGAGGAAATTTCAGTTTGGTGTTTGTCCCATTTTTGAATTCTTGGTTGGTGAGTGGACCCCAGACCTCACAACCATAAAGGGCAATGGGTTCTATAAATGATTCAAGTATTTTTAGCCAGATCCTAATTGGTATGTCAAATTCTATGTTCCTTTTAATGGCATAGAAGGCCCTTCTTGTCTTTCGCAGCTTTGTGGAAGTTACCTGTGGCGCTAATGTTTAGGCCGAGATATGTATCGTTTTTTGTGTGTTCTAGGGCATCGGTGTCTAGATGGAATTTGTATTCATTTTTTGGAACACCATTATTTTTGTCTTATTGAAATATACAGTCAGGGCCCAGATATATTTCTCGCTCTCTCTCGCTCTCTCTCGCTCTCTCTCGCTCTCTCGCTCTCTCTCTTTACCACAAACTTTGCCAGAGGCCCATCAGATAAGTTGTAATCATGTGTGGCTCATCCCCACTCCCTGGCTGTGCTTGGGCCCAGCCCTACCATGCCGCTCTGAACTGTGGTGTGGTTCCGGGAATCAAGGGCGAAATTGTGTGTGTGTGCAATTTTTATTTTGAAAGCACAGTATAAGTGGAAGTCCCCCCAACCCCAAAAAACATGAAAATATATATATTTTTGAGGGGGAAACAGATTTTCTGTAGAAAAACAGCTAACTTTCTGAAGTTCTACACATTTTGCCATGGGGCAGAGTGAAAAATGTGTTTTTTACAGATTATGTTATGCTATTTTTCAAATTTCGCCATGAGAATGACAGAAATTGTTGCAGTTTTAAAGCGAATTTCCTGCTACTCTAAACATTTTGCAATGAGGCTGAGAGAAAATGTTAGTTTTAAAGTAACTGTCCAGTGAAAATCGTGCTTTTAAAAGTTCATTCTGTTAACTCATACCTAAATAATGTTGTTGACTTATCCTACACTCGTATTTGTGGCCGAAGCATAAATAGGAGAACACTTCAAAAACCCCACCTTAAACTTGAATCTCAAACAGACCGTTTAAAAAATGCTTGCATCCTGAGGAGGATGAGCTGGCCAATCAACGGTCTACTCGCATTAATATTTTTTATGATCGGTATACGCCCACACCATTCTGTTGTTGGGGTATGCCCATGCCATTCCAACACAGAAAAACTGCTTTTTAACATACTTAATTACAATTTTTTTAGAAGGAAAACTATTTCACTCATATTGTAATTCATTATAGGTCATATTTCATAGGAATCTGGAAACACTGGGCAGTTACTTTAAAGGTCGACTTTGGGCAAAGACGCAAAAATAACGGCTTTAAAAATGTATAACTGATCAATGCATCATCAAACCAGGTCATTTAATGCTTACATTTTTTTTATGAATAAGATATTTGGCTACAGAAATGCAATTTCTTACCCATCTCTACAGCTTCCGTCCAAAAACAGATCCGGTGAAATGACGTCAACACATACTGGAGGAGTTACTGGATAGCTACAAGTGGCTAGCTTAGCCAACGAACTAGCTGACACATCGATTAACCACCCCATTAATGTTGAAAAATTGAGAAAGAGGAGGAGTTGGACTGTTTTTTTGTGCCCAAAGCTGAGCGTTAAAGCACATTTCCTGCAATTCTACACATTTTACCATTGCTTATCACTTGTTCATATGCTATCTGGGGGGCCTCAAACCAAAACATTTATGAATAATATTTTACTCATATTGTCATTCTAATATGAAGAGTTACTCATATTTATTTTAAATAAATTATTGGGGGGATGAATCAACCTGTTCTGACATGGCCCCCATCCCCCGTGGCAATTTCGCCTATGCCAAGAATCTTCCAACTGGAATTTTGGGGAAACCAGAGAATTTATTGAAAGCTTTCAGAATTTTGCAACCCTAGGTATACCACAGGACACTTAGTTCTCTCTGTTTTCTCTGTTCTCTTTCAGTCCTCTACATTCTGATCTCTCTCTTTTCTGTGAATCGCTCTCTTTAGCGCCACCTCTTTCCTTGCTATGTCCCTCCCCTTGATCTCACCAACTCCTTTCTTTCCCGCCACATCAACCATCCCTGCTCCCCTCCCTCTCTCCTTTCCTCCCTCTCTCCTCCCTCTCCAACACCAGCCTGTGGAGTGATTGGAAGCAGCCGACAGCAGGCTTGGTGCTGAGAGATTTTGCCATGCAGAGCACTCAAGCTGGACGATGAGGAGGAGGGGAAAAGGGGAGAGGACGTATGGTGTGTGTGGGAGGGAGTTACTGGCAGGGAGCCATAGTAATAAGGGACAGATATGAGTCCCCTATACAAAGAGAGCCCCCTCCTACGCACCCCGCCTCTACACCACTTGAACAGACCCCAGATGACCCAGTCTTATCCTCCCATCATAGATAGACCAGCATAGATAGAACCTCATCACTATTCATCTTGCTAGGGAGAGCATGACGGTCACAGCACCACTGGGTTGCAGAGCCACAGGGCTGCTATATTTTCATGACATATTACATCAGATACCAGACCTCAAATCCCCAAGAATTCCCTTGGGATTTTATTCATCGTATTAGTCACTGGTGGACAATATGGATGTTAGTTTCATGAACTCCAGTAAATATTTCAAGGGAGGTTTGGCTGGAAGATAAGTCAGAAATATTATTTAATTCAAGAGCACGCTGATATCCAGTTGGATAGAGATGTTAATTGTGTCATAGCAGAGGAGTAAACACACTTAGACACGTTCTGCTGCTTACTCCTCATTGGATCGTGCTTTTTCTGTTCCAAAGTGAACGACAATGAAACTATGACACTATTGAATGAGACTAGACTGTACAAGTTACCACTCACAGTCCTTTATGGAAATCCCTCTTATAGAGCGAGCTGAAATTTGCATTGGCAGTTTTAATTTGATGATAAACAATACATCATAATGGGGAGAGAGGCAAGACAAACACAGATAGGAGGAATGGAAGATAGAGGAAGAAAGGAGAGAGAGAACAAATCAGTGACGGACAAAGAGGGGAGAGACAGAGAGGGTGGCAGAGGAGAATGTGCTACCTTGGAATATTGAATGTAAATGCAAGGAGAAGCTGAAGGCTGTATCCTATATACTCCTCATATGTTGTTTATGCTCTTTTGGTTTACAAGAAGTACTTCCAGAGGGGAAATGTGCTTTTTGTTACGGCTGGTTGATATGTTGTAAAAACTGATATTGTGGTATGAATAAGATGTGCATGATGTGGCCAGAATCAAACATTCATAGACTGGAATGACTGTAACCCCAGTTGTGTTGATGTCGCCCCCTGGATGCAGTGAGGTTTACTTCATCTCTCTGCGCAGGTGGGCTGGCCTGTTATGGCAGGGCAGGGTGAATCCACTCTATGGAGTAGTTTCATCTGGGTTCAAATGGCCATGTCAGTGTGAGCTTTGGACACACTTTGTAGAGATGTGACATCTCATTCCACTTCCAGCAGTTGCATCATAGGTCTCCCCCACTGCTCTTCCTCTATCTCCCTGGCCTGCCTCCATCCTCTCTTTCTTTCTTTCTTTCTTTCTTTCTTTCTTTCTTTCTTTCTTTCTTTCTTTCTTTCTTTCTTTCTTTCTTTCTTTCTTTCTTTCTTTCTTTCTTTCTTTCTTTCTTTTTTTTTCTTCTTTCGTTCTCCCTGAGTCATTGTGTCTGCCTCCCTCCTTATATTGTGGACAGGGAGGCAGTACTGTGGACACAGCACAGGTTTTTTAGGCACTAATGTTAATGAGCTGCATTAGTTCTGGGCAGCCTGCCACCCAAACAGAGAGCTTGGCAACGGATGCAGCACATTTACCACTGAACATCGGCTTGTGTTAATCATTTATCAATCATTTCACGTGTACACACATTTAAAAGCATTCAGCAACATACTGTACTGCGGCTCCATGCAGTGTAGGGTTGTGTTGTGCAGTGTAAGTGCCCCCCTCAGTGGGTTGTGTCACCAGGCCTGTGGCCAGGGTGGAATGTTCACACACTGCTGCTGAATACTGCAGCTACCCAGCGAAGCCTCACAGCTCTCAACTGGACACAGATCAGTGAATGACACCATTACACATAAAACACAGATGAAGGGAGAGAAGATGTTTGTATGTGATATGTGTGTGCCGTGCCAGTTTAAGTGTACTGTGTGTCCAGTGTCCTCTCTACCACACTACTGGGTGCTGACTGTTGGTTAATCATGGGTGTGATTTATGATCCTCTCTCCACACGGAGGGAGCGACAGCTTGTTTTTCCTGGGATGTCGTCATTGTCTATTTTCCCTATATTGATTGTCTCCTGCATGTGGAGCAGTAGATTTGCACCTAGTCCTAAGCAATCCCAACTGCTCTAGCTGATGTTGGCCTATTGCTCAAAATATAGCATAGTATTTCCTGTCCAAAATGTCCATGATTGCCCTCGTAACTGAAGTGCAATGCTCCAGCCCTTCAGATTCAAATGTCAGGTTGTCATTATAATATTTTTTATCAGTCCCTTATCTAGTCCTCGGGGGAGTAGGCCAGACTACTCTCTCTCCAATCAATGATTTTAATCAATTAATTTAGTTCTGTGGTGCAATGAAAACCAGTGTGCACCTATAGCCCCAGAATTACACAGAGGCCCTGTTTCAGTCCTTAAAGTTTAAAACAGAGTTCAATGCATTGATCCTAACTGGCCTCTGTCTCTCCTCAGCTACCTAGACAGTTTAGACCGGATCGGTGCACCTGACTACCAGCCCACAGAGCAGGACATCCTCAGAACCCGAGTCAAGACCACTGGCATTGTAGAAACTCACTTCGTCTTCAAGAACCTGCACTTCAGGTAAGACACTGGCTCAGTGCTCCTCTTCCTCCTCAAATACTTAATTTTATACTCCAACAGATTATGCTGCATTTACAGGCTGTAAAGCAGCCTGGTCTCATAGACTAGACATAGTAAATGTAAATCCAGGACACTCTAATTAGTATGATAGGTTAATTTTATTTAATATGCCATTTAGCAGACGCTTTTATCCAAAGCGACTTACAGTCATGCGTGCATACATTTTTGTGTATGGGTGGTCCCGGGGATCGAACCCACTACCCTGGGGTTACAAGCGCTGTGCTCTACCAGCTGAGCTACAGAGGACCACGTTTGGTATGGTTTGCATAACACAGATGGTTACTTAAGGCAAAAACAAAAGTATAACGTGAATGTCTAGCAATTCAAAGGTTGCAAGTTCGAATCTCATCACGGACAACATTCGCATGTTAGCTACAGTGGCTTGCGAAAGTATTCACCCCACTTGGCATTTTTCCTATTTTGTTGCCTTACAACCTGGAATTAAAATTGAATTTTGGGGGTTTGTATCATTTGATTTACACAACATGCCTACCACTTTGAAGATGCAAAATATTTGTTATTGTGAAACAAACAAGAAATAAGACAAAAAAACAGAAAACCTGAGCGTGCATAACTATTCACCCCCCCCAAAGTCAATACTTTGTAGAGCCACCTTTTGCAGCAATTACAGCTGCAAGTCTCTTGGAGTATGTCTCTATAAGTGTGGCACATCTAGCCTCTGGGACTTTTGCCCATTCTTCAAGGCAAAACTGCTCCAGCTCCTTCAGGTTGGATGTGTTCCGCTGCTGTACAGCAAACTTTAAGTCATACCACAGATTCTCAATTGGATTGAGGTCTGGGCTTTGACTAGGCCATTCCAAGGCATTTAAATGTTTTCCCTTAAACCACTCGAGTGTTGCTTTAGCGGTATGCTTAGGGTCATTGTCCTGCTGGAAGGTGAACCTCCGTCCCAGTCTCAGATCTCTGGAAGACTGAAAGGTTTCCCTCAAGAATTTCCCTGTATTTAGCGCCATCCATCATTCCTTCAATTCTGACCAGTTTCCCAGTCCCTGCCGATGAAAAACATCCCCACAGCATGATGCTGCCACCACCATGTTTCACTGTGGGGATGGTGTTCTCATGGTGATGAGAGGTGTTGGGTTTTCGCCAGACATAATGTTTTCCTTGATGGCCAAAAAGCTCAATTTGAGTCTAATCTGACCAGAGTACCTTCTTCCATATGTTTGGGGAGTCTCCCACATGCATTTTGGCGAACACCAAACGTTTTTGATTATTTATTTCTTTAAGCAATGGCTTTTTTCTGGCCACTCTTCTGTAAAGGCCAGCTCTGTGGAGTGTACGGCTTAAAGTGGTCCTATGGACAGATACTCCAATCTCCGCTGTGGAGCTTTGCAGCTACCTCAGGGTTATCTTTGGTGTCTTTGTTGCCTCTCTGATTAATGCCCTCCTTGCTTGGCCGTGAGTTTTGGTGGGCGGCCCTCTCTTGGCAGGTTTGTTGTGGTCCCATATTCTTTCAATTTTTTAATAATGGATTTAATGGTGCTCCGTGGGATGTTCAAAGTTTCTGATATTTTTTTATAACCCAACCCTGATCTGTACTTCTCCACAACTTTGTCCCTGACCTGTTTGGAGAACTCCTTGGTCTTCATGGTGCTGCTTGCTTGGTGGTGCCCCTTGCTTAGTGGTGTTGCAGACTGGGGCCTTTCAGAACACTTTCAGAACAGGTGTATATATACTGAGATCATGTGACAGATCATGTGACACTTAGATTGCACACAGGTGGACTTTATTTAACTAATTATGTGACTATTATGGTAATTGGTTGCACCAGATCTTATTTAGGGGCTTCATAGCAAAGGGGGTGAATAGATATGCACGCACCACTTTTCCATTATTATTTCTTTTCATTTTTTTTTTTTCATTCCACTTCGTGTATGTCCATTACATGAAATCCAGATAAAAATCCATTTAAATTACAGTTTGAAATGCAACAAAATAGGAAAAACGCCAAGGGGGATGAATACTTTTGCAAGGCACTGTAATTAGCAACTTTTCAACTACTTGCTACTTTTGAGCTACTTTGCAACTACTTAGCATGTTAGCTAACCCTTCCCCTAACCTTAACCCTTTTAGCTAACCCTTCCCCTAACCCTTTAACCTAACTCCTGAACTTAACCCTAACCTTAAACCTAACCTAACCCTAAAGCCAGCTAGCTAACATTACCCACCTAGCTAGAATTCGTAACATATCATACGTTTAGCAAATTCATAACATATTGTACATTTTGCAAATTCGTAACATATTTTACATTTGCAAATTCGGAACATATAATATGAATTTTAATTCGTAATATATCATACGAAATGGGTGATGGACATCCACAAATTAATACATACCATACGAAACGCAACATATCATACTACATTTACGTACAGAATCATACGAAATGCTCTGAGACCAGGTTTTGTAAAGGGTATTCTTCTGTAACAACAGTATGTGTGCTTAAATGGTGATTATGATCTGTCATACATGGATTTTACCCAAGATTAATGGGTTTCTTCATTATTGTACCATGGCCATTAACATTTTCTTTTTTTAATGAATGTGCACTGGGATCAGCACAGAGCGCTGGGAGAAAAGGAGCTGTGACTGAATCTACATTTAAATTATAAACTCTAGTTAATTACTCTAGAACTGCAAATCTGAAGACATACTATTTAAGCTTAAATCATTAAGTATTATCTGGATATTTTGTGGTATTTAATGCGCTGTAAAATCTAGTGCTACCAATTCATTATATTACTCATAATTTTTTTAAAGTGGGATGTACATTGAAAAAGCGGGATGTGCAATAAAAATCCCCAATACACCTTGTTTAGCTTGGTTTAACAAAACAGAGGGCTTGTATTTTTCCTCTGCTCCTCACACAGCGGCCTGCCTGCCTGCCTGCCTGCTAGCACAAAGCAGCTCTTTGTTCATCTCCTTCTCTGACTCAGTCAGCTGATTGAGAACAAAAAATACATGATGAAAATAATGTGTTAAGTGGTCCAATACAGCCGTTTTTATCTCAATATTAAATCATTTCTGGGTAACAATTAAGTACCTTACTATCATTGTTTTCAATCAAAATGGTCGAAAATAAACAAAAATAGCTTCTTAGCAAAGTGCAATTTCTCTAGCAATAATGTTGCTTGGACTTTCTGGGAGTGGTCTGAGTGGGGAGGGGAAACTGAAAACTAGCTGTTATTGGCAGAGAGGTTTGGAACTCTCTTATTGGTCTATTAACTAATTTACTGCGTGGTGATGTCAACAGGCAGGCCAAAATCCATCCTGCCAAAACAGGCTGAAATTTCAGGCGGTCTTTTCAAACAACTCTTACACTAAAATGGCATTATCATCACTTTCACAATTTCACAGAATTATTCCAACCTCATAGTGTGGAAATATATACAGTGAGGGAAAAAAAGTATTTGATCCCCTACTGATTTTGTACGTTTGCCCACTGACAAAGAAATCATCAGTCTATAATTTTAATGGTAGATTTATTTGAACAGTGAGAGACAGAATAACAACAAAAAATCCAGAAAAACACATGTCAAAAATGTTATAAATTGATTTGCATTTTAATGAGGGAAATAAGTATTTGACCCCTCTGCAAAACATGACTTAGTACTTGGTGGCAAAACCCTTGTTGGCAATCACAGAGGTCAGACGTTTTCTTGTTGTTGGCCACCATGTTTGCACACATCTCAGGAGGGATTTTGTCCCACTCCTCTTTGCAGATCTTCTCCAAGTCATTAAGGTTTTGAGGCTGACGTTTGGCAACTCGAACCTTCAGCTCCCTCCACAGTTTTCTATGGGATTAAGGTCTGGAGACTGGCTATTCCAGGACCTTAATGTGCTTCTTCTTGAGCCACTCCTTTGTTGCCTTGGCCATGTGTTTTGGGTCATTGTCATGCTGGAATACCCATCCACCACCCATTTTCAATGCCCTGGCTGAGGGAAGGAGGTTCTCACCCAAGATTTGACGGTACATGGCCCGTCCATCGTCCCTTTGATGCGGTGAAGTTGTCCTGTCCCTTTAGCAGAAAACACCCCCAAAGAATAATGTTTCCACCTCCATGTTTGACGGTGGGGATGGTGTTCTTGGTGTCATAGGCAGCATTCCTCCTCCTCCAAACACGTCGAGTTGAGTTGATGCCAAAGAGCTTGATTTTGGTCTCATCTGACCTCAACACTTTCACCCAGTTCTCCTCTGAATCATTCAGATGTTCATTGGCAAACTTCAGACGGGCCTGTATATGTGCTTTCTTGAGCAGGGGGACCTTGCGGGCGCTGCAGGATTTCAGTCCTTCACGGCGTAGTGTGTTACCAATTGTTTTCTTGGTGACTATGGTCCCAGCTGCCTTGAGATCATTGACAAGATCCTCCCGTGTAGTTCTGGGCTGATTCCTCACCGTTCTCATGATCATTGCAACTCCACGAGGTGAGATCTTACATGGAGCCCCAGGTCGAGGGAGATTTACATTTATTTTGTGTTTCTTCCATTTGCGAATAATCACACCAACTGTTGTCACCTTCTCACCAAGCTGCTTGGCGATGGTCTTGTAGCCCATTCCAGCCTTGTGTAGGTCTACAATCTTGTCCCTGACATCCTTGGAGAGCTCTTTGGTCTTGGCCATGGTGGAGAGTTTGGAATCTGATTGATTGATTGCTTCTGTGGACAGGTGTCTTTTATACAGGTAACAAACTGAGATTAGGAGCACTCCCTTTAAGAGTGTGCTCCTAATCTCGGCTCGTTACCTGTATAAAAGACACCTGGGAGCCAGAAATCTTTCTGATTGAGAGGGGGTCAAATACTTATTTCCCTCATTAAAATGCAAATCAATTTATAACATTTTTGACATGCGTTTTTCTGGATTTGTTTGTTGTTATTCTGTCTCTCACTGTTCAAATAAACCTACCATTAAAATTATAGACTGATCATTTCTTTGTCAGTGGGCAAACTTACAAAATCAGCAAGGGGATCAAATACTTTTTTCCCTCACTGTAATATATATATATATATATATATATATATATATATATATATATATAACACAGGAAAATCACGTTTTTGACTACACTGGGCCTTTAATTTAATATGTAGAAAACAGTGGTGTGCAGCGAGAGGCTGCAGGACTGTCAGGCTGTGATGTTCCATTCATTCCTGATCCTAAAACTTGCTCTCTGACAGGCTTTTTGTAAGGGCTAACGTAGTATTCTGGTACTGAAGAATGTTCTAGTCTAGTGGTACTGGACTGTTGTCCTTTCCCAGACCTGTTCCAGTAATCCTAGCAGTTCTGGGTGTGCCCTGCCCCTGACCTGAAATGCTGTATCTACAGTAGTACAGAGACCTCTACAGCCTTCTGTTAGCTGGCCTGTGGCAGCAAACCCTTTGAAATCCAATGTTCTTCAGATGTAGGGAGGGGTTGAAAATCTGTGCATGAGCCTAACCTCAATGGTAATATTACAGTAGCTATGGTACTCAGAAACTATGTGGGAGCAATTTCAAAATTAATAGAGATAATTCCATACCAATGTGTTTTTGCTATGTCAGACTGACTGTATGTGGTAGATATTGTACTGACACTGTATACTTTATACTACAGTATGTGATCCTCTGAGTGGTTGCTTTTTGTTTTTCTGTGCACGTGTAATGGATGGTGTGTGTTCCATAGGCTGTTTGATGTGGGAGGTCAGAGGTCGGAGAGGAAGAAATGGATCCACTGCTTTGAGGACGTGACAGCCATTATCTTCTGTGTGGCACTGAGTGGGTACGACCAGGTGCTGCATGAAGACGAGACCACGGTGAGTCTCACACACACACACGCACACATACCCTTAATTCATTGTGTCCATATCTCCATAAATCACTCTACAATGCAGCACATTAAATTCCATTTAATATGAGTCATGTATGTGTCCTTTGTTGAGTACCTCAACATAATGAACAACAGATTCCTACACCGGGGCTATGTACACATCCAGTGGCTATCGCAGTTTTGTGAGCCCCCCCTCCCTCCCCCTGCAAGGTCCGAGCAATGTCCCCCCCACAGTAGAAAAACTTATTTTTTTATGAAAACAGCTAACTTCTTGCAGTTCTACACATTTTGCTAGGACTGTCTGGGAGTGGTCTGAGTGGGAAAGGGAAAACTGAAAACTGGCTGTTATTGGCAGAGAGGTTTGGAACTCTCTTTCTTATTGGTCTATTAACTAATTTACCATCTGGTGATGTCAACAGGCAGCTCAAAACTCCATCCCACTAAAACAGGCTGGAATTTCAGGCTGTCTTTTCAAACAGCTCTTACACTAAAATGGCATTGCTGGGGCTGCAGGGAGGTGTGGTATGCCAGTGTACACATCACTGGTTTCCTGCTACTCATGTTGAAATTAAGGGTTCACAATTACCATTACGAGGCCTTTTATCTATGGATCCTCAGGTTTAGCTTTGTTATGAAACACATTGCTAATATACAGTAGCTTACATTTATTTGACCGTTTACATGCAAGTGTAGATTCATTTTGGATTTGTTTTTTGATAAGCAAAAATATGTGAGAAGCTTTACATAACACAACATTAGATTAGACCACATAGTTACTGTATTCCTCTCTATGCAAACACAGCAGTCACACTTCCCATCTGGTTCCACCCAGTACTCCACCCAACCTCTGGTTGTATCAGCTGGTGTTAGTGCCAAGGCAAATTAGTTGATTTCCATACAGTTGCTTAGTTAGTGAGCGTCCCTGAGCACCCCCATGGCCAATGGCAGTGCGTGAACAGTGTTTTCTGGGGCCTATATGTGTGATATACAACTCTAACATCCAGTATAATCTCTCCCAGGCCAAGTCCTGTTTAAAAGCCTCATCACATTTCTGCTACTGCCATTTCCAAAAGCAGCTGGGTTTATTTTTGAAATATTTCTATAGTTCAGGATAATCCTATTTGAAACAAAATGTATCAGAATAGAAGACAATTCCCTTAATTCAGTACAGACTGTATTTCCATTCATGTGATTAACAGACATGATAAACTGAAAAAGGAAGGAACAATGGCTCTATTGAACTATGCTTCTAACAGGTTGACGGGCTCCTAAATCGAAGTCATATTTGTTTACTCCTGGACTCCTATGCACATGCCCGCATGCGTGTATCAGCACGTACACGTACACACACACACATTTACATTAATTTCTCACTCCCTCTATCTGGCTTCCTTTCCCTGTTTTTCACCTTCATGCAAGTACTGGCACCCACTCAAAGACGTGCACAGCAGGGCATCGAAAAAATGTTTCTACAGCAATTCTGTTTAATAATTGTAACTGCAAGGTTTGGTTTGGGTCCTTCCTGCCTGCTCTACAGTTTCCTCCTTTCATCGTTGGGGGGAGTGTGTGTGCGTGCTGGCACGTGCGTGCTTGTGTGCGTGTGTGCGTGCATTTGACCGTGTGTGCGTTGCTGCTTGTGCGAGCGTGCATGTGTGTGTGTTTAAGAGGGGGGAGATGAGTTGGGCCCTTGTGCATGTCCATCTCTGCTCCACTGAGCCCCCCGACCCCCCAGCAGCTCTCGTCTCTCCTTCAACGTCTTCTCGTCTCAGCTCCTCTCCTGTCATCTCTCGCCATCGGCTGTCCTCTCTAACCAATCGCCAAATGCTAAAAACCCACCTGGTTCCACAGAGGGCCCTCCCACCAAACATGTGTACAGGTATGAAACCTTAAACAAGGACAAAGAGTCCAAAATCATCTGGAAAGAGTTAAAAGCAGCACTCCTTCTGGTTGTGATGTGATTCTGTGTGTACATAGTATGTATGTATCTGTGTGTATTTACATGTGAGTGCCTGGGACTTGCACTGTGAGGATGATATGACACTGTCTGTACTGTAGTATGTGTTGCCTTGTTCTCAGAGTCTTACTTGTCAGAGGCTTATTCAACTGATGAGATAAATGCTAAACTATGGTCATTAGTTTTCCTATCTCTTCTCTTTCTCTCTCTTACATTTTCAAAGAATTGCTAACACTACAAGAATACCAGTCTCTGTGACTCTCATCTTGTGTTCTATCAACAGATTATGATTGGCTCTTTCCTCTGCTCTATTTAAACTGATTGGGCTATGCGAGCCCTCTCTGCTGCTCTAAGTGGAATGTGATTGGCTGTAAAGGAGCAGTCGTGACTGTGTTCTCTCTGTGTCTTTTCCACTGTTATTGAGAACAAGGCAACAATTTACTCACACCAGAGAGAGTGTCTGCTTCCAACTCTACAAACACCCTGGTGAAATTACATATAAATTGTCTAGAAATGTATTTGCATGCCCTCCCATCCCTGTTCTAGAGAGAAGCACACAGGGTTTGTCCTAGACCAAGGCTACGTACCTAATAACATTGTGCATGAACTTGGCTACCCTCCCAGGATGCTGCATACTTGTCATACTTAACATATTACCATGACACTGTGGCAAACAGGAACACTTTATTTAATTTTTTATTTTAGAATGTTCTTGGATCTCGGGGGAAGTGGCTCACATACAGTTAACTCCTGGAAGGAGCATTTAAAGTTTAGTTTCTGTTCTGCTTTGTAGTTTCCTTTCTTCACTTGTTTCCCTTATTTTATGTGTGTGTTTGTGTGTACGCGTGTCTGTGCATGCGTGTGTGTGCATGTGTGTATGTGCGTGTGACGTAGTTAGAAATAGAGCCACACAGCAGACTGACTGACGTTGTTTTCTCTACCCACAGAACCGCATGCATGAGTCTATGAAGCTGTTCGACAGCATCTGTAACAACAAATGGTTCACAGACACCTCCATCATTCTCTTTCTCAACAAGAAGGACATATTCGAGCAGAAAATTAAGAAATCTCCCCTTAGTATCTGCTTCCCGGAGTACACAGGTAATTGATGAAGAGTGGAGGCTATTGAGCTAGGAGAAAAGAGGGGGATGGAGTAGCAGCAGGAAGGACAACTAGAAGAAGGGATAGTGTGGTATTGAGGGATAACGTGTAGAAAGGCTTGAAGAGGGATGATTAGCTTTCGGAATCAGAACAGGAGAAAAGGATTCTGTCTTTTTATTCTCTTCTCATTTACTCATCCCTTACCTGGCATGACTCCATGTTATCATCTTAGGGCTTATAGAGCAGAGCAGCCAAGGAGTCTGGGTAGCCTGCTGTACTCACTGTGTAAACCAAGGCCTCCCTCCACAGTTACAGGATAATCAAGCCACTTAGACAAGCACTAGGTTTTACATTGGGTGTGTAATATTTAAATAAAACATATTGTTTTGTGTCCATTCTTGCCCTTATATCCTTTTTTTTGTTTTGTCTGCTTTTCTTCCCCTTTTATTTTCATCTTTCTACTTCTTCTTTCTTTTATTAACCAACTTTCTTTCCACATCCTGGCTCGCTTGTCTTGGGCCATATATTTTCTCCATTTCCTTTTTCTCCTGCTTTTTCACACCTTTCTGCAGGCACGGACACCTTCATGGAGGCGGTGCACCACATACAGTCTCAGTACGAGAGCAAGAACAAGTCCCTCCAAAAGGAAGTGTATGCCCACATCACCTGTGCCACCGACACCAACAACATCCAGTTTGTGTTTGACGCTGTCACCGACGTCATCATCGCCAACAACCTTCGTGGTTGTGGCCTGTATTAACCCAGAGGAAAGACCCAGTGTGTCCCTGGATAGACCTTTCTCCTCCACTTTTCCCTGTCTTTTATTAGCCCAATCTCACCCACATATAAAATGAATTTACCTTTTAGATTTGTTATATAATAAAACATTTTAATTCAGTTGTATAAAGAGAGACAGCTGTATTTTATGCCTCAGGCATTGCACATCACAAGGAGAAGTGAAAGACGGGAAAAAGAGAGGACTCTTGAATGGAACAATTAGTTTAGTGTGATAAAGAATATACATTGACAATCACTCACCTGCAAATGTAATCCAATCTAGACATACATTGTAAATCACATTTTCAAAGCAAGGATGCAGATATTAAATACATGCATTTGATACAAAAGTCATGTTAGTGGTAGATTATTTCTCTATGTTTGGCAATATGCTGCATTGATTTACTAAAACACTTAGGCAGTCATTACTGTTGTGTAACATTGTGTAACTGGAATAGGGTCACCACCATAAACAATAATCTACAGTTTACAAGGAAAACTGCTCATCCTTACCAACAAAGTATCTCTTGTAATTTGTCATTTTGCTTATTGAGTAGTAGTCATCTGATATGAGAGGAATTTGTGCCTTGACCGTTTTGTGAAACACTTTGAAGTGGGAATTGGAGTTGAAGAGTTGGAGATGTTTTAGTGGCTAGTGGAAGATGGTACCGTGTAAATAATGTCAACTTCTGGATTTTTTGGTTGAAATATAATTTGTTGTTCCGCTTATGTCATGTGGGTTCTAAGATTTTAGTATTGGAAGGCTTTTTTTGGCTATTGTTGCTACAAGTCCAATATTTGTAAGATTCAATGATTGGGTGTGAAATGTGTAAGATTTGAAAGTACAGCCAAATATGTTTTGAGCCCTTTACACTGCAGTGGCCTCACTAAAGGGTACATTTACCCAAACCGTACAGTGTATTTGTGTAACTAATTGAGCCCATTTATAATGGAAATTGGTAGCAGTGGTAATCTTCATAAAAGTCACTGCCTGGAGTTGAGTTAGAGCTGTAGAAATATCCCCCTGTCATAATTAGTCCAGATGTTCTTGTTGTGGTTTAGGTGCCTCGGCAGTCTTAATCTAGCACTGGGTGTTGTTTGACTTAAATTGATGGTGATTGGCCTGGCTATGTCAGTAACTACTTTACCTTACCGGTGCCAATGCTAAGTAGCAGGAAGTATTTAATATGTGTGTGAGGTCAGATAAGTTAGTATCTGTTTGGGGTATACTGTAAGAGAGAGTGTGTGTAGGATGAGGTTATCCAGGAAACAGCTGTTAAATTCCTCATTACACGGACCCTCAGGGAGGACACCAAATGTCACAACACCCTCCCTGTCATTTGCCAGATAATGCCAAACCACTCCAAGAAGGGGCAAAACCTGTTTGTTTCTTGCCAAATAAAACGCAGCTTCCTGAGGTTTGATACCGTCCTCCTCTTTTAGCTGTGCTCTTGTCATGGCTGTAGGAAGCTCTCTTAGAAATCACTCATTTGTCACACCCATGCAGGTGCCGGATGAGTGGGGGTAGGCCAGATGTTTCCATGACGATCGTTCTCAGCACCACGCCTGCCTTAGCTGGCAGCTACAGCCTCTTGTGTGTCAGGTGACTGATAGCCACTGCATTGATTCTATGGGCTCTGTAAAATATTTGTTGACTGTACTACAGTACACTAAAACACCATTGCAGTAAGTTACTGTGTTGCTTCGGTAGGTGCACAGCAGGAGGCAAAGGCTGTGCCAGCCCTCAGGCCAGTTAGTGCTCCACAACATGGCAAGGTCTCTGAGTTCTCATGAGCAGAATAAATCTCATTCTGTGCCAAATCTGTTGAGACAGTGTTTGTGTGCCACATTTTACATTTTATGATGAATAAGAAGCTTGTCCATGCTGCGTTGTCGCAGCTGGAGTTATCTCTTCTATACCAGAGGCTAAACTAAGACGGAAGCCATCAGAAGTCTAGTGTATGTCCCAGAGCACCCACCCAGACAGTCTCTCCCTGCTCATCTTATAGCCTGGCCTTAAACCTGACTGATGGCCTATAAAGCCTGTGTCTTTGGTCCAGGGAATGAAGGGTAATCATTTCAGGGAACGGCAGGCAGAGAGAAGGCTGGGTAATAGAGTTTATATCCACAGCAGTGAAGCTGATGGATAATGGAGTCTTAGGGCCAAGGTAAAGAGACAGATTGGTAATTGAGTCTGTCTGGTGGAGCGAAATGGATGGGAGGGACAATATGTGGCCCTGAGTAAACTGGATCTCAGGTCTAGTGGGTACCAAAATAGGGAGAGAGAAACAGCAGTGGAGATGATATACAGTAGTGTGGTCTCCTGATGTAATAGAGATTAGTTTACCACATCTGCCTTGGTGAAAGCGGAGATGGTTCATGTGATGTACAGAAGCTGTCTGGAGCTGTAATACAGTTGATTAGCTGTCGGCCTCTCCCAGTACCCAGTGTGTCAGTCCCAGTCAAACATACACACGCACACCCACGCGCAAACACACACACGCACGCGCACACACATACACACACACAGAGGAGCTCCCTATCACAGCAGGCAAAACACACCAATATTTCAACTGCAGCCATAAATAATAAAACAGTTGGCACAACAATAGAACTTTGAAAAGCAGAATTCTTAAATCCTCTTTCGACTTTCCCTGAATGCATTTCACCCTGTGTTACACAAAGACTGCCTCTGCATCAGCATGGGAGGAATACATTAGAGACTATTCTCTGGAGCTTACCACAACCCCTATGAGGAAATGCAATTGTTGTTCATTTGAAAATGCAGTGTCCGTCCGAACCATACCAAGCAACCAACCTACAAGCAGCACTAGGATGCTGACAGTACAGTACGTCATGGTATGATTGAGTGCCTGTTTTCTAGTAGGTGTTGTTTGTGTCTCACTGATGTAATTGTTTGCTCATTCGTCTCTTTCACTGTTATGATTATTTATTGAAGGGTGTATTTATATGAAGGAAATAATAAAGCACCACATGAAACTCTGTCTGACCCTCCCTCGCTTTCTCTCTCTCTCTCCCAGGCCAAGTGCCTGCTTCTTTATGACTCATGGCACTCTCTCTGCATCATGTTTACCCTGGAAAAGGGCATTATTTAAATAGAGGTCATGGGCTTGATTCAAGTTGGATGATGATCAAGTTTGTGTATGCTCTGTGCAGTGAGTGCTTAGCTCTCTCTCTCTCGCTCGCTCTCGCTCTCTCTCGCTCGCGCGTGCTCTCTCTCTCTGTCTTCCCTTGCCCAATGGGAATGCTACTGAACTACTTATGATCGTGTCACTGCCTGCAGTACAGAGCCCAGGGGACTATGAGAAACAAACTACTGCCCGTTGCACAGCACACTCACACACAGTAACACACACTTTACACTAACACACAATGCTTCTCTCAGTACCACACCACACACTCTTACAGACACACAATATTTCACTATGTCTCTCCATCCTCTTTCTCTATCTCTCTCTTTATTAATGTTGATGAGAACTGTGAAGGAATGATTGGTCTGGTCTCTCTCTCTCCCCTGCCCCCTGTCTATCACCTGAGTCATTGTCAGACACACATACACTGAGCACAGCAGCAGCTGCTAGCTGTCTCCTATAAACATCTCATGTCTGATTCTAACCATTCAATGTTCTTTATCACAGAGCTCAATTGTTCAGATTGGTTCAACAAAGTTTCATTATAAACCCTTTCTTCTCCTACTTAGCAGTCTGTCCTGTCCAAGTGCTTTGGGAGGCTAACTCTCTCTACTGTCCTCAAGTCATGAAGCTTGGTTCAACTATTCCTGCTTGGTTTTTATTGCTCTGATGCTAACCTTTCCACATGATCTGTTTCTCTCTCCCTCCCTACCTCTCTTCCTCCTCTCTCTCTTCCTCCTCCCTCTGCTTCTGTCCTCCTTTCTCTCTTCCTCCTTTTTCTCTCCACTGCAGAATCGCATGCACGAGTCTCTTATGCTGTTCGATTCCATCTGTAACAACAAATTCTTCATTGACACTTCCATCATTCTCTTCCTCAACAAGAAAGATCTGTTTGCCGAAAAGATCAAGAAATCTGCCTTGAGTATCTGTTTCCCTGAGTATACCGGTAAGATTTGGACTTTAATGGACACTTTGGTACCTTTGTAAATGTCAGAATTGGCCAAAACATATCTGCTAGCTGAAACCTTGCAGTTGAGTCTGCAAAAATCCACCTAGGTCTTGACTATGTGATCTTAAAATGAGTTGACATTGTGGAATATACAACCAGAGGGGAATACAAATATTTTGTTTCTCTAACCCCCCCCCCCCCCCCCCCACCCCTTCCCCTCTCCCTTCCCTGTCTGACAAGGTGAGATGGTCACCCATAGCCTGAGAGAGAATAAAAGCAGAGCCACGCTTGAGCAGTCATGGAGAAGGGATGGCCAGTGAGGGCTGTCTCCGTCCCTATCTGCTCAGGCAGACAGACAGACACCATACCCTTTCCTTTCCCTGCTTAGAGAGCCGCAGGGGACACTTTCATTTTTTAAATTTAGCCTTTATTTATCCAGGCGAGTCAATTAGGAACAAATTCTTATTTACAATGACGGGCTGGCCAGTGACGACTGGGAAATGCGGTGCAATAATAATTAATAAATAAACACTGCAGAAGTGAACATTATTCTGCTGCCTTCCACATCTGACACACAAAGCTATGCCAATGTGACTGTTGTATCCTCATGGTAACTAAAGTCACATGGATTCTCTCAATAGAGTATTGTGATTTTTGAAATAGAGCTAACTACAGATGTAAGATCTTAATTTGATCACCCTGATGCAGGAGAACTTTCCTGCAATGCAGGAAATAAAAAATGTGTGTATTTGAGGTTTAAAAAGGCTTCTGAAGTTTGTAATTAACACTCTGAAATTTCAGACTTGATTTTCCCTTAGGAAAAATGTATCACTCCCTACAAAAATGTCCATTAATTATAATCCACATAATTCACATTTCCTGTTGCTGCAGGATTCTCTTCCTGCTGTAGCAAACTGGCTCATATTGAATGGAATGAATTCAGGCCCTAAATGCTCTCTTCAGCTCTTAGTTCTTACTCTTTCACTGTTACCTTTCTCTCCTGTCTTTCCTCCTTTCTCCCTCTTTCTTTTCCTCTCTTTTCCTCTCTCCATAACCTCCATTACAGGTTCTAACACCTATGATGATGCAGCTGCCTACATCCAAGCACAATTTGAGAGCAAGAACCGCTCGCCCAATAAGGAGATCTACTGTCACCTGACGTGTGCCACGGATACAGGGAACATCCAGGTGGTGTTTGACGCCGTCACTGACATCATCATCGCCAACAACCTGCGAGGATGTGGCTTGTACTGAGCCCTGACTGCCCCCTCGCCTCACCTCTGGAAATGATTCTAATTGAAAATGCAACTTGGTAAATAATAATGATAATAATAAAATAGGCATACGTATATATATATATAAATATATAAATAAATAATGGGGCCATACTTGCACACATTAGAAACATTTTACCTTTAAACTGTTTCTCCGTCTCAAAATGCACATCAGCCAATTAATATCGTTGATTTACTTGCACGTGATAGAACGCTACATTGTAGCTGGTTCCATCAGATAACCTGGCACATGTTAGCCCTATGCTAACCTCACCAGCTGACAGTGATTATTCCCTATAACAAATTCCGCAAAGATATTAGACTTTATAGCCACCAACCAATGGCATTTCTTAAAATAGGTCAACCCTGGCCACCAAAGAGATATTTTAAACCTATTTGGTATGTTAGGCCTATGTAGAATACTAATTAATCATTGAGTGATCTTGCGAGACATTGATTCAGCTTTGACCTAAACTTTATTAAACAAGCACCATTCTAAGAAGTGGCGAAGCGTGGCTCCGGTGTGCTCCAGCAGATCTACACACGTATAGCAGTAGCCTATATTTTGGTCTGCAAGAGGGACTCCAAGAAGCTTCTTATTAAATATATTTGTAATTTACAAGGTTTTGGCTGCACCCTTCGCAACACACTGTCACAATAAATGTAATTCTACATTTCAAAGGAAAAAAACAATATCTCAACTGGGATTCGAACTTGCTGCAAACAACAAAAATTACCAGAAACCAAGATTACAACACAGTAAGCTATCTGTCCAATTGAATTTCTGTGCGTGTTTTAGTAACTTTGATTAGCAGATGGTGCCGTGCGACTTCTGTTAAGGATGCTCTTATGAAAAAGTGTTCGGTCACGTCCAACTACATCAACATTTGTAATTGGCTGATACAGAATTGTTTTACTGGAAATAATCACGTCCAGCTGGTGGTGTTAGCATAGGGCTAAATATGCCAGGTTATCTAATGGGAAAAGCTAACAAGTAGCGTTCTATCACATGCAACTACGTCAACGCTTTTAATTGGCTGGTGTGGATTTTGAGACGAGAAACAGTTTAAATTTAAACTGTTTCTAATGTTCGCAAGTATGGCCCCAATGTTTTTAGTTTGTCTTCGAGGAGCTGCCAACAGAACTGATTTCTTATAGAAACCCAGCCTTTAAAGTTTTAGAACAAAGTTGAGATCTCGTTTAATGTTTGTTTTCTCCCCTTCCCGACTGTCTTTTTGTATTTAACAAAACAACCCTCACTTGTTTTACATAATGTTTTTGTAATTTTTTTATGTTTTTGTTTATCATATGTATATTTATTACATGAATATCATTCCATGGGCTGACCTGTCCACGTTTGCCTGAGTATATTACTGTAGTAATGATGTAATTGCGCTGGAAAACTGTTCTAGCTCTAACAATGGCTATGACAGGTATGATGGTCATGAATACGACAGTCAAGATCAGTTTATTTCTTTTGTACCAGACTGGGTTTTCATGGTAATCCTAGAAGTTCTGTTCAGCTATTTGATCATTTAGTTAAAAGGAAACACCCAGGATTGATGCGCCCTATTTCCACCCAATCCCTTCCTGTCATTCCGGTGGGCCTTTGCCATTGGCTGTGTGGATTTTGGAGCAGGGAGTCACAACACGTGACCCAAAGCCTCTGAACCGGATATCTGAAAAGTGTCATATCAGTGCCAACCCCAGGAGAATGACAGGTTTGGAGATAGTCCTAGGAACACTTTGTTCCTTATTAACATTATCATGTAAGGAACTTCTACTTTTTTATGATCATTTATTAATGTATTTAATTATTGTCTGTCCCACACACCTTATACTTTATTCCTCCTCTCATCCTTTTCTTTTTCTAGCACCCACCTCTCTCCACCTCTCCTTTAATTGTTTTGGGTTGGCCATTGGCTGGATAGTGGTGTCCCCCATCACTCCTACTGACAAATATAGCATGAGCGACCCTTCAACCTTTGTAAAAAAAAGAAACAGTTAAACGCATCACATGGAAAATGTTGAGAAAAAATCCTACAAAGTCCACAAAAAAGGTAAAAGAAAATGGAAAAACTGAAGAAAAAAGATTGAAAGAAAAAAGACAAAAGACAACAGTGACATATGGACTGGGTGGGGCCGGGAGGGAATTAGGGAGGGGAACCGACAGCCGTCCTTACCAGTGATGTGGAGATTTGAGGTCAAGGGTCATTGGGCTGTGTGTCTTGGTAGAATGCTGTAGATCCTTGGGTTCTAAAATCTTTACAATGTAGAACTATTAAAGAAAAAATAAACAAAAGAGTATGATTATGACAATAATAACAATGATGATGATAATAATAATTACAATATCAATGATAATGATGATTCTGTAATATTATTAAAGTATATTTCTTGTGCATTGTAGCTACAGGACATTTTTTTCTCTCTCCCCCTTTAAAAAAAAAACGTTTTGCAAGGGTTCCCGTGATCCACTCTTGACCCATTTTTACTGACTTACCCATGTTGATGTTTATGAACTGTACTGATTATTTTTGCCTGTTCTCCCTGCATTACAGTGTCTTTACTTAGCCTGACTTATATATATATATAATATCTATTTTTTTTATTTTGGAAGAACCACTTTGGAGCACGTCCCACCCCATTGCTGTTAAGGGCGGGGTGTGTACACGGCTGTACAGATTCATGCGCTTTCTTTTAGTTTTGGGGAATTGTACTCACCTTCCAGGTCTGCATAGAAAAGCACAGCTCTCACTTCACACATAGATTTGGAAAGATGTATCTCTCCTCCCTATCTGCCTTCTTGATTTAAATGTTTTTAAAGAATACTGTGTATTATTACATATACCAGTTTGGCATTCTTTTTCCTTTGATCACCTCCTTTTTTTATCCCAGTGAATGCTTTTCTGTGCTGCTTTTTTCTCCCTCTTTAGTGAATGGTTGTTCTTTCATGTGGGATGTTCGTGCTGGAATACCAATCGAATGTAGTGTTTACATTAAAAGCCACAGTTTTCATGACTACAACTTGGGGCATTCTGATTCTTATTGTCACTCATAATTACCAACTTGTCTTCTATCTAGACACATCAGGGATGCAACTGCGCGCATCCTAATCAAATTCCAATGTGCATATTGAAGGTGTTATAAGAACTGTCCACATTTACTACCACAACATCAACAAGATGAGTAGGCCTAACGAACAGCAGAAGCACTAGCCTATGTCAATCTACTATCCCCCATAGTACAAAAGTTGACCTATTCTATTGGTCAACTTGTCCTTCTGTGCAATAAAAAAATATTCCAAACACAGTCTGGGACAGTTGTGGTATGCAATAGATCACTAATTAATACAACAACCCACATCAAAAAAATGCAATGAGGCTGATGCAACAGATCAAAATGTTTACCTTAAAATGTTGATAAACTATTAGGCTATTTCTTCACATTATAAGCACAGCAATGCGCACATGGCAGTAGGCTATAAGCGCTAATGTTCCAAAATGCAATCAATTAGGGGGAAAACATCACTCTCAAAAGTGACCACAAATGTGATTATGTATGTAATACTTTATTATAAAGGTGCATTTCTATAGTGAAAATTATCTTCCCCAAACTTGAAACTCACACGGCGCCTATTTATGCCAGGTTGTAAAGCGGATTAATGTGCTTAATTTTAGTAAGTTATTTGGCCACGTTAGTTGTGATACTTCCCCTCTGTCCGTCCCCCTGCCTGCAGGAAGGATGTCCTGCTGCTAGCTGACATCTCTGCTGGGCAGGCGATGGAGGGAGCAGGCTCAGCCCAGGGGGGTACACATAGGCTACACACACCATGCATGAGGCTGACTCCCTCGTACACACACACCCCATCCAGGAGACTGACTACACACACCCCATCCAGGAGACTGACTACACACACCCCATCCAGGAGACTGACTACACACACCCCATCCAGGAGACTGACTACACACACCCCATCCAGGAGACTGACTACACACACCCCATCCAGGAGACTGACTACACACACCCCATCCAGGAGACTGACTACACACACCCCATCCAGGAGACTGACTACACACACCCCATCCAGGAGACTGACTACACACACCCCATCCAGGAGACTGACTACACACACCCCATCCAGGAGACTGACTACACACACCCCATCCAGGAGACTGACTACACACACCCCATCCAGGAGACTGACTACACACACAGTGACACACCCCATCCAGGAGACTGACTACACACACCCCATCCAGGAGACTGACTACACACACCCCATCCAGGAGACTGACTACACACACAGTGACACACCCCATCCATGAGACTGACTACACACACCCCATCCAGGAGACTGACTACACACACCCCATCCAGGAGACTGACTACACACACAGTGACACACCCCATCCATGAGACTGACTACACACACAGTGACACACCCCATCCATGAGACTGACTACACACACAGTGACACACCCTATCCATGAGACTGACTACACACACAGTGACACACCCCATCCATGAGACTGACTACACACACAGTGACACACACCATCCATGAAACTAAAACACCAAAATCCATTAAACACATACTATCCATGAGACCAGAGATCCCTGGTCGTACATAGTACCCTAAAACACATCAATGTTCTACACTGAATAAAAATATAAACGCAACATGCAACAATTTCAAAGATTTTACTGAGTTAGTCAATTAAAATAAATTCATTAGGCCCTAATATATGGATTTCACATGAATGGGAATACAGATATGCATCTGTTGGTCACAGATATCTTTAAAAAGGTAGTGGTGTGGATCAGAAAATCTGTCAGTATCTGGTGTGACCACCATTTGCCTCATGCAGCGCAACATCTCCTTAGCATAGAGTTGATCAGGCTGTTGATTGTGACCTGTGGAATGTTGTCCCACTCCTCTTCAATGGCTGTGCAAAGTTGCTGGATATTGGCGGGAACTGGACCACGCATGCTCAATGGGTGGTGACATGTCTGGTGAGTATGCAGGCCATTGAAGAACTGGGACATTTTCAGCTTCCAGGAATTGTGTATAGGTCCTTGCGACATGGGATT